AGATTGGCGAACAAGCAGCATCTTGTCTCAGAAACTGAACAGAATTTGGACATATTAGGAGCCACAGCAGATTAGAAGGAACGGTAGCAGAAGGCATGGCGTCAGGAGAGAGAGGCAGGGGCCGACCACCACAATGATGGGCACAGGATATATGTCACCTTGGGCAGGAAATGCATGCACTCTGGCGAGAGATCAATTTTTTTAAAGGCAGGCATTGATGACGTCAACGTTCTGCAAAGGATTTGACACACGATGATGGTGAAATAATTAAAACAAAACTTCTTAGCAAATTTATTGAGGTGAAGAAGCAGACCGAATGGTTTGTTCACAACAGCTACCAACAGATGTGTTCTATCTACGAGTTCTGATCTGAAAATAACAGGGAACCCAAGGAGAAGATAAATTAATGACTTTAAAGCCATTACACATTCACACGAAGTTACAAGAGTATCCAACTAACAGACTAGATTCTAGAGGTCAATAAATGTGAAAACACTTGAGAACAGGAACTCAATGTTTTATTTGCAATATCTATAGAAAGGTATTGTTACTAGTTTGTTGGTACTAAACATTTCTTTTGTTAATCCGCTCTGGTCGTGGATTCGTTCCCTGGCTGAGCCGGACTATTTTCAAAAATGACCTTAGCTCCCAGGTCGACCCAGCCTTGAGTTGGTACCGGGTGGAGTCCCGGGAAGTAAAGGCGGCCACATCACCTATCTTGTGCCGATTGGTCTATAAAAAATATAGGTCTAGCCCTATATGCCCTATACGCCTAAAGGTGTGGCAAAGGGTCGTTTCCTTTACTTTACTTTCATCCGCTGTGACAAAGAAATAGTCACTGATACACATACTTCTGCTGCCATAGGAAACATACATGCTCTGAAAATGTTTACTGGATCTTCGATAGCTCCCAGCCCCGAAAGTTATTCTAGGTTATACTGACTTTTTCGCTAATTCGGTCATTCTTCTCTGAAAAACGACGTACTGTTATTGGTGAACAATTATATACGCTACTTAAAAGCTACACCACGTGGCCTCTACTCAACACAAATTTGCAACAAAGAATCAAACATGCATTGCGGTTATAACTTTCCTATCTTTGCCTGTAGGGAATCCATTTCTAGATCCATTAATGTTGCTTTCAAAAGCGCCTCTAGGTTCCCATTTCTCAGCATCACTGCCCGTTAACAAATAGTTTCCCACAACCAAATATGTTCTTTTGTGAGGAAATATATGGCCCCATCCTGTTATTCAACTGTAACGTTTTTCTTCAATCTGATGCTCTAATGATATCTTAATGAATTTTAACAGAATCTACGTAGTTCAGGCCAAGAAAAGAAAGGGAAATTACTTAATTACAACATGAATACAGTTATTTTTAAAGTTGCCCCTGGAGTCTAGTTTTGTTCACGTTTGTTTCTAAATGTGATCTTCATTTATTTTGTTCTTCTTAAATATTATGATTCGGTTTTAAAACATCGAATTATATGGCTAACAAGATCAGCGCTATCTTTTTAAATTTTGTATGGAAATCAATACAATTTAAAGACATTGCGGTATCTTAAAAGCTTAAATGCCTTTTGAATAAAAATACTTGGGCAGTTTGTTCCGAGGTAATTATCCACATTTTCCAGATACGACTTTTTAAATGCCCTTGGCGATTATATTTTGTGGTTTAGTTTTGTTTACATTGAGGCTGAGTATAATACTGCTGATCTGTTCATGTATTGCGTTACATGTTGCTGTTGTTGCTGTGCTTTATTATCTTCTTCTTCTGCTTCTCCTTCGTCTTCTTTTTCTCCTCCTCCTCCTATTCATACCCAATATAATTACGGCTATTCAATCACAGGCTCCATACACATCAAAACTGTGTATGGGGATAGTTAGTTGAGGTACCTTGAGATGACCGCCTTTACTTTCCATGATTACCCTTTACCCAAGCTGTTTCGAGCTAGAAGGTAAAGTCATTAAAACAACCCAGCCCAAAAGCTTCCTGTTGAAGGCAGAGGGTTTAACCCGCTACTTAGCATGTGTTCGTTCATCATGTTTCTCACTGATTATTGTTTTAATTATAACGCACTCACATAGCATGCTTCTGGGAGGGGAAAGGTTGTTCAGAAAGGGAGAAAGGGTGAGACGTTGCTGAGACTACAGCAAACGAGAAAGGGTGAGACGTTGCTGAGACTACAGCAAACGAGAAAGGGTGAGACGTTGCTGAGACTACAGAAAGGGAGAAAGGGTGAGAGGTTGCTGAGACTACAGAAAGGGAGAAAGGGTGAGACGTTGCTGAGACTACAGTGAGACGTTGCTGAGACTACAGAAAGGGAGAAAGGGTGAGACGTTGCTGAGACTACAGAAAGGGAGAAAGGGTGAGACGTTGCTGAGACTACAGAAAGGGAGAAAGGGTGAGAAGTTGCTGAGACTACAGAAAGGGAGAAAGGGTGAGACGTTGCTGAGACTACAGAAAGGGAGAAAGGGTGAGACGTTGCTGAGACTACAGAAAGGGAGAAAGGGTGAGAAGTTGCTGAGACTACAGAAAGGGAGAAAGGGTGAGACGTTGCTGAGACTACAGAAAGGGAGAAAGGCTGAGACGTTGCTGAGACTACAGAAAATGGGAAACGGTGAGACGTTGCTGAGACTACAGAAAGGGAGAAAGGGTGAGAGGTTGCTGAGACTACAGAAAGGGAGAAAGGGTGAGACGTTGCTGAGACTACAGCAAACGAGAAAGGGTGAGACGTTGCTGAGACTACAGAAAGGGAGAAAGGGTGAGAGGTTGCTGAGACTACAGAAAGGGAGAAAGGGTGAGACGTTGCTGAGACTACAGCAAGTATCTGGAGCCCAAGCAGTGGTATGCAGAATTTTCTACTAAAGACACTGGAACTAATGCTAAGAAAACCATACCAGAAAGACAAATCAAAATCTAACCACTAAACATATGTCAATTGAAAACTATAACATTTACCTATCAAACAATCCAGGGACATCATTAAACTACACAGGAAGCATATGTAAGACAAGGACACAATACAGCTGAATATTGCACAACTATGAGGTTGTCTTCAAACTCGTTTAACAAATTATAGAACGGTAATGTTTAATCTAGCCTAAAATAAGGCACCCGAAAACTAATTAACTCCAACAAACAATAAACTATACAAAACTCGGCCAATACGTAGTGCTATGCTATAGACTTCAGTTGTGGAGAATACACAGTTGTTTTCAAAACCCCACTCAATTTAGGTAAATCACTTAGCACGTTTGCTGTCGTATATCACTGGAAAATAATCACAACAAACAACCTAACAAAGCCCTGACAATTAACCGGCCATCTTCCGCCCTTGTACTGTAGACCTTGTCTGGTCTCAAAGCTTGGCATAGAAGCCCTTCACGCCAGAAACATTCAAAGGGAAAACAGAAATATGGTCTATGTGTATCTTTTATACTCTATCTCAGCCATGTGGGATTCGGTTCACTTCCGGTTCAACTGGGTGTTTTCCTAAAAAGCGCCCCCTACTAAGATTTTACATCAATTGTTAAATTAATAAAATAATCAACCAATGCTTCCCCGAGCATCTGGTTCAAAATGGTGAAGTGAACGTGGCGAGGGTTCTTTGAGATCAAGTAGACCGTGCAGCTGCACAAAGTTTCCATATCTCAAAAAAACTGATTCAGCGGGGACTATGCAGACGGTCTGTATGAGTTTCAGGGAAAAGGACAGATGCAATTTTAGTGAGGTTGCAGGTAGCGCCAACAGTGTGGGTTCTCTTCTTAGTAAGAAAACAGGGCACCTTTGGGAATGCAACCAGTGTGGTGATGTCATTCATTCATTCATTCATTCATTCATTCATTCATTCATTCATTCATTCATTCATTCATTCATTCATTCATTCATTCATTCATTCATTCATTCATTCATTTATTCATTATATTATTTAACTTCGCTGATTGAAGTCTTTTCTTTTTAAATCTTCAGATTCGACCGGATGTAATCCTGTATAATCAAAAATTACCGGGAATTTCCAGTCTTGACGTAGAACCCTCTGACCTACAACCAACAAACGATCCAGGAGATGGAGAAGGCCAACTTTCTGTTTTCGACGAGTTTCTAGACTCTCGTTTCCTTGCAGATTCAGAAGACGACCTGGAAGAAATGATTCCCTCCAAATTGTTGAACGGACAAAGAAAATATATAAACCTCGATTTTCTGAAAGCCTTGTACACTAATAAAATGGATAACGAAGACGTCAAACGACTGTTTGACTCACTGGGTGGTTATGATGTCCACGGATTCAAAAGAAATGCAGAAGACAACACACTCGCTCAAACAGGTCCGCGGAATGCTCTTCGGAACAGATTCCTTATGAAGCAACAACTTAAAAACCTGTTAGACCAATATATGAATGTAAATGCAGAAGAAGAGGTTTCTGTGCGTGCTAAAAGAGATTTAAGTAACAATAGAAGAATGCTCAAACCTGTGATGTATTCCAAAAAAATAAAGACAGCAATTCAAAACGCACAACGGAAGCACGAATTAAAGAGAAATATTCTAAATTCACTCAGTGATTCTCAAATTCGGGGACGGAACCGGCATGTACGGAAAAGAGCTTTAGATACTTTGGGTGGGTTTTTAGTTCACAGCTGGAAGAGGGCAAGTTATGACAGCGATAAGAGAGCTTTGGATTCTTTAGGGGGGTTTAACGTTCATGGGTGGAAAAGATCTGTTGATTCCCATAGTGGCATTTCGGGTAACAGCTGGAATAGACATCTTCATCCTCATGACGGGTTTCGAGGTCAAGACGGGGAAAATCATTCAAATATTACGGGCTCGAAAAATCGGGGTTCAAATCATGTAGAGGAAGGATATCTAGACGTGCCTTTTAGTCACCAGGGCAACAAATCTGTAGATGGTTTAGGAATGCATGGAAAAAGTGGAGATATTGCTGTAGTTACTACAGGGTCTGAATGGAATCCGGTCGATGCTACTAGTAGTGTGGTAACAGATGACAAGAGAGCTCTTGACTCTCTAGGAGGATTTAATGTTCATGGGTGGAAGAGAAATGATAAAAGAGCTCTAGATTCTCTTGGTGGATTTAATGTTCATGGGTGGAAAAGGGACGATGATAAAAGAGCACTTGATTCTTTGGGTGGGTTTAACGTTCATGGGTGGAAAAGGGACAATGATAAAAGAGCCCTTGACTCACTGGGTGGGTTTAACGTTCATGGGTGGAAGAGAGACAATGATAAAAGAGCACTAGACTCATTAGGTGGGTTTAACGTTCATGGGTGGAAGAGAGACGATGATAAAAGAGCACTAGACTCACTGGGTGGGTATAACGTTCATGGGTGGAAACGGGATGATGACAAAAGAGCGCTTGACTCACTGGGTGGGTTTAACGTTCATGGGTGGAAGAGGGACGATGATAAAAGAGCCCTTGACTCATTGGGTGGGTTTAACGTTCATGGGTGGAAACGGGATGATGACAAAAGAGCCCTTGACTCATTGGGTGGGTTTAACGTTCATGGGTGGAAACGGAATGATGACAAAAGAGCCCTTGACTCATTGGGTGGGTTCAACGTTCATGGGTGGAAACGGGATGATGACAAAAGAGCCCTTGACTCATTGGGTGGGTTTAACGTTCATGGGTGGAAACGGGATGATGACAAAAGAGCACTAGACTCACTGGGTGGGTTTAACGTTCATGGGTGGAAGAGAGACGATGATAAAAGAGCACTTGACTCATTGGGTGGGTTTAACGTTCATGGGTGGAAACGGCATGATAAAAGAGCACTAGACTCATTAGGTGGGTTTAACGTTCATGGGTGGAAACGGGATGATGATGAAAAAAGAGCACTAGACTCATTGGGTGGGTTTAATGTTCATGGGTGGAAACGGGATGATGACAAAAGAGCACTAGACTCACTGGGTGGGTTTAATGTTCATGGGTGGAAACGGGATGATGACAAAAGAGCCCTTGGCTCATTGGGTGGGTTTAACGTTCATGGGTGGAAGAGAGACGATGATAAAAGAGCACTAGACTCATTGGGTGGGTTTAACGTTCATGGGTGGAAGAGAGACGATGATAAAAGAGCACTAGACTCATTTGGGTGGGTTTAACGTGGGTTGATAAAAGAGCACTAGACTCATTAGGTGGATTTAACGTTCATGGGTGGAAGAGAGACGGGGATAAAAGAGCACTAGACTCATTGGGTGGCTATAACGTTCATGGGTGGAAGAGAGACGGGGATAAAAGAGCACTTGACTCATTAGGTGGCTTTAATGTTCACGGGTGGAAAAGGGATGATGATAAAAGAGCACTAGACAGGTTAGGTGGCTTTAATGTTCACGCGTGGAAACGACAGGATGATAAAAGAGCAATTGATTCTTTGGGTGGCTATAACGTTCACGGGTGGAAAAGGGATGATGACAAGAGAGCACTGGACTCACTAGGGGGTTTTAATGTTCATGGGTGGAAAAGAGAAAATAAAAAAAGAGCACTTGATTCTCTAGGTGGATTTAATGTCCATGGATGGAAAAGAGATGAAGAAGAATGAACTCGTGAGCTCTGTTTCAGATGCCTAAAAGACAGAACAATATCGCACGTTACTGTTTATGAAGAAGGCGTTTGAAACCATCAGATAAGTGTAAGAATAATTCATTAACTCTATAAATGAAATGAGGATGTGTTTCTGGCAGCAAGAATAATTCTTATAAAAATATCATGGTGTCAGTTACAAACAAACTTTTGCCCTTGTTTTGTTGTTACAATTGTTTATTCTAGAGCGTCAAGAAAAGTTATGTTATAATGTGTGTTATTGCTTCGTTTTTTCTATACAATATTATTCGTCTTCTGTCATCATCTGCTATTAAAATTACCATTGCTGCCTATGCTTACCACTTTTTGCTGTGAAGGCGGGCGGGGGATAGGGGGGGGGGGGGACGGTCTAACGAGTCTTACTTGCATACTTCTGTCTGTCGAGTTTTGCTGGGATACTTCTATCTTGTCGACTTGCTTTCTGTCGAGTCTTGCTGGCAATACTTCGAGTCTGTCTATCGAGTCTTGCTGCTGGTCTATACTTCTGTCCTATTGAGGATCGAGTCCTTGCTGGTATACTTCTGTCTATGGAGTCTTGCTGGTATACTTCTGTCTATCGAGTCTTGCTGGTATACTTCTGTCTATGGAGTCTTGCTGGTATACTTCTGTCTATGGAGTCTTGCTGGTATACTTCTGTCTATGGAGTCTTGCTGGTATACTATTCTGGAGTCTAGGAACTTCTTCTTCTAGTATTGTAAACTTGAGTCTTGCTAGTATACTTCTGTCTATCGAGTCTTGCTGGTATACTTCTGTCTATGGAGTCTTGCTGGTATACTTCTGTCTATGGAGTCTTGCTAGTATACTTCTGTCTATGGAGTCTTGCTGGCATACTTCTGTCTATCGAGTCTTGCTGGTATACTTCTGTCTATGGAGTCTTGCTAGTATACTTCTGTCTATGGAGTCTTGC